AGGTGTGAATAGAAGTCCTTCGCGATCCTAGCAATTTCCCCCTCGGCAGTTGCTGTCTCCCCCTCTGGGGTAAGCAACCCTGAAATGTCGTTCTCATTGCTCGAGGGTCTGTTGCCTAGCCTAAAGAAATACTTTGAGGGAGAATCCGTCTGTGCCAGGTGTTGCACCTTTTTGTGCACAAACGAACTATGTGCCTGTTGGTCCGTGACGGCCCTAAAAAGTCGCCGCTTCTCCAGCAGCACCTCGCCCTCGTTGTTGTGCGCGTCCTGGGCCGAGCCCATCTCAGCCTCGAGCAGCAGCAGCTCGCTCGCTCCCCAGGCGTTTCACCGTCTTCTCCTTGGCGGCGGCGTGCTGGCTCGAAAGCTGTAGACAGAGGGCCCTAATTTGTGCTTTAGTGTGTTCCCACCATCGCTGACCAGAGCTGAAACTGCTCCTAGTTGCTGCCCAGTGTGACCAACAGGCCCTGAATGCCTCCGTGAAATTTTCGTCCTCAAGCAGCTGCACGTCGAGTTTCCAGTAGGGGCAGCGACGCCTCTCCCTGGGGACTCGCAGCAGTGCTGAGACCAGGTGGTGGTCAGAGAAACCGGACGGGGTGATGTTGCTGCCCCCTAGCCGGTTAGCGCTGTCCGCACTGATGTACAGCCGGTCCAGCCTGGCGAGGCTCATCCTCCCCTGCAGGCCCGCGCGGCACCAAGTGTATTGCCTCTGGCCTGGGTGTTGCAGTCGCCACGTGTCGAGCAAACCCAGTTGCTGCACCATGTCGGCTAATGGCCGTGCGGATTCCGGGTGGGGCTCAGCACTATTGCGGTCGAGAGCCGGGTCGAGGGTGCAGTTCATATCTCCCCCCACGACCGTGAGCACCCCGTCCGCACTGCCTGCCTCCAAGGCATTCCGCAGTGTGCCAGAGAAAAAGCGTTTCCTCTCACTGGTCTTACTCTGCGCATAAACGTTGAAACACCGTAGCCTCGTGTTGTTTAACACGAAGTCTACAGATATCAGATAGCCTTTTTGGATCTCTCTGAAGGCCACGCCTTCTGGGAGAAACTTTGGACTAAACACAATTGCAACACCAGCGCGGTTGTCTTCTCCGTGACTAAAGAAGGTCTGGCTGCCCAAGAGGTGCTGGCGCTGGGGCTGCAGAGTTGCGTCAAGGTGCGTTTCTTGCAGAAACGTCACATCCGCTTTCTGCTCGCTAATGAAGCTGCAGATGCGGTGCCACCTCTGATCGCTTCGAGCTCCGTTGCAGTTTAAACTCGCGATCCTTACACCTGAGGAAGCCATGGCTTTAGGCGTCGGCTTCAGCAACAGCATCAGCGGGGCGGCACTCCGGTTGGGACATGCTCCCCTTTCTTGCTTTCTGCATGAAACCCCTCAGCCGATTGCCTTCCTGCGGGGTGCATTTGTGCTTTTCCATGTCGCTGATGATTGTCTGCGCGACCTTCAAGAAGGCCTGCACATCGGGGAAAGAATCTCCGATGTCGACCCCCCGCTTCTTGTAACTAGTTCGGAGGAATTTGACAATCTTGCCGGGTGTGTACTCTCGTTTCTTCTTAACATGTGAGTTGCTCCCCTCACTCAAGTTGTCTTCTATCTCTAACTCCGACCCTCCGTCGTCTGAGTCTCCCGGCACGCTTGTGTGAGGCTCGGTGGTTACCTCTTCCAACGCACCGTGCCGATCGGAGGTGTCTTCCAACTCGGGCCGGCTCCCCTCTGCGGCCTCTGCCTCCCTCACCTGGTCGGGTGAGGAGGTGAGCTGGTCGTCACCCCCGAGCGCCGTGTCATCGGCAGGCTCATCGGTGGCTTCCAGCACCCCCCCCCTTCCGGGGCAGCCGAGTCCGGGTCTGGTGGTCGCCCCTCTGCCTCGGCATCAACCGGCCGGTGGGCCTCGTCAATGACGACCACAGCACCCTGTGGCTCGGCCTCACCGCCGCGCCCTGCTGTTGCGTTCGGGCGGTTGTCCCGTTCGTCACTGTCGCTGTTGTCTTTCTCGGCGGCGGCCACGCGTTTTGGAAGGGTGCCACCGCGCCCCCCCCCCCCCCCCCGAATTGCCTCCTCTCGCCTTCCGCTTTCTCGACTCAACGACGGTGAAACCATCTTCCCCGCCGTCAGTCATTGGCTGCGCGTGACCATCAGCAGCGTCGGTGGAGGTCTGCTGCTGCTGCTGCAGCTGCTGTTGCCGCGGTGGCAGCGCCTGCTGCTGCTGCTTCTGCTGCTCCCGCACTTCTGCTGCTGCTGTCTGCGCAGGCGGAGCTGCTTTTCCCCTTTCATCCAACAGTGGACAGTTTGATTCTAATGCGACTACAGTGGGATTTTAATAATTGTAATGAGATTCAAATATTGCATGTCCTACCCCCGGTTCGCATTCACTTAACATGCATATGGCCAAAGTGTGATTCTAACATTATCACAGTGCAATTATAATTATTATTATGCGATAATAATCACGAACCTCCATTTTTGTTGTTCAAAACTAATAATACTGTGATGCCGCCGCCACGAAGCCGTTCGGCAGGCGCCCAAATCCCCGACCTCGCCACCACCAAGCAACGGAGCCAACCCCGCGTCTCCCTCACCTCACCTCACACGAAGACACCCGCACGCATTTCCCCCCCCCCCCCCCATAGAGCTCCGAGGGGAGGTCACCTGGCCGACCGTTTTTATCCGAGAAACCCTTATCGGGGTTAACTCTCACGGTTTCCGGCGATCAGGGAATTGGACGACCTCCCCCGTGCTACGTTGCGCCGCTGCGCTGCGACCAGCCTTAATATGGTGTGGTCGCGGCATGGGGCATTCGGCCACCGCGGTTGAGGCGCATTTCCCCCCACACACACCCCCACGGGTCGACGGGGCAAGCAGGGGAGGGACGGGACAGCATGAATAGCGGGACCGCAGGAGCTGTTGCGCATAGTCATGGCGGGTTGGGATAATTACGCTTGAGCGCGCAGGCCCCATTGTTAAGAAGGGTAAGGGAGTAATTAGGATGTACGCCGCCAACGCCGCTCACTGATTAGCAGATCAAAAGCGCCCGGAACCGCCGTGCGCGGGCTCGAGGTGCACGAGCCCATTGTTCAGCGCAGCATCCCCTTTGAGGTAGGGAGGATAAATAGAGGGGCGCAGAGGGGAAATCGCTCTCTTCTCTCCAGGCCAGCGGACCAGCCGCGGCTCCAGCCAGCGACCCGGGCGTCCGCGCGACTCATCGAGGTGCGCTGTTAGCACAGGGAGCAGCGAACCACCGCGGGCACCAAACAGTGAGTGGGGAGGTGAAGTAGGGTAGCGTAAGCCAATAAATAGGGAATAGGTACAGGTTTGGGTGGAATAGGCCAGCCTCGTCGACTCACTGATTCAACATCAATTCGCAGGTAGCATATAATAAATCATTAATAGCGAAGCGTGGTCTCGCGTGATCTTGTCGTGCAGAGTGTCGCGTGAGGAGCTGCGTGTGTGTGCGTGCGTCCACCCCGGGTGCGATACAGGTGCGCGATCCTAACGCGAGTAGTCAGGGGTGAGTGTAGTGCTGCGGCTCGCCTCGGGGGAGCGCTGCGCAGAGCGGCGCGAGAGTGGGTGTCGCGTGTGTTCACTCCGTGTGTGATACAGGTGCGCGATCATAACGCGAGTATCCAGTGGTGAGTGAGTGCCGCGGCGAGCTGTGTACGTGAGTGCGCATACATTCGTTACGTGTCGGATACGAATACGCATTGGTACGTGGTTATTCGACGTGGAGGCGAGTGCCGCACAGGGCTATAGACGGGCACACACTCGCAGCGTGCGAGAGCTGTACGTAGCGGTGTAAAGAGGGGGAGTATGGCGTTTGATTGATGATGCTGTGCGCACGTATGCTCGCAGCGTGAGAGCGCGGCGCGAGGCTGTAACAGTAGGGGCGTCACGTTCAAATGCCGGCGAAACAGTAGCGGGAAATAGGGAGGTGGGGTAACGTAAACGGAATAGGGGATGCAGGCGGGAGGGACCCCGGGGGCCAACGGCCCCCACACTTCTAATGATATTATAATACCTTACCTCCGTTTAAATGGTTATAAATTAAAACACTAGTTTATAATCGTTTAATGTTCAGTGTTATAGTTTATAGTATTACAGTTTACATGTTATAGAGTACAGTTTATCCCGGACATACTTCGGGATTAGGGACTGGTACGTTGATGAACGATTAACTACGGTGACCTTTCCCCTCAAGGAACACGTGTTAATCGGGTAGACAGCCAAGATGCTGCGGGTTAAGGGCACACTTGTGTGACGGAGGTCCTCCACCTGAAATTATCTTAACATAGGAACATTATAAATTAAAGACCGGACAAACATTTGTTAAAATTACGTTTTTATTCATCTGCAATCATTTTTACGTCAAAATGTTCACACATTTCCAGTACCATGCAAACCATTTCCGTTCCAGGAATACCAAAACGTTAAAGTATCATTGATTTCCTTATTAATTTACCACATTTCACTGCGAGTCCATGTTGAAGTCAAGGCCATATATCCAACGATCGCGTTATCAATGTACATCCTGATATCGACTATCTAAAGTCAATTAATACCAATCAAAAAAAGCTATATACTTGACAAAAATCGTTTAAAATGTTGAGTAAAGATGTACCTACAGACGCATTCCAACTTTAGCTCAACAGGGACACTTAACGACTACAATTGAACCCTCTCACAACCAGTGCTCATCACACCATTTCGGCAAGTAACCCGATAACATTACAAACCACCACTGGGCACGTCATTAAACTCTCAAAAAAACTATAAAACTAAAATGTTCAAAATAACACACAAAAGTACTCGATACGGCTTAAAAGGTATAACCACATGACGTAATATTTTTTCAGTCACCCCGAGCTCTCTGGTTGACTCTCGAGCCACTCCATTACATCCAGCCATCTATCGGGATCCAACTGCATGGGATCGAAGGTGGAAACTTCTTTAGAACTCATTGCAGCACCTTGAATTTCAGCTTTTGATTTCAGTTTCCTATCATTGTGGACCGTCTGATGCCTGTTCCTGGTTGATGAGTCTGCAAATGTCTTCCCACACACAGGGCACAGAAATGGCTTCTCGCCCGTGTGTGTTCTCTGATGACTATGAAGATTTGATGACTTTGAAAATGTCTTCCCACACACAGGGCACACGAATGGCTTCTCGCCCGTGTGTGTTCTCTGGTGACTCTGAAGATGTGATGAGTGTGCAAATGTCTTCCCGCACACAGAGCACAGGAACGGCTTCTCGCCCTTGTGTGTTCTCTGGTGACTCTGAAGATGTGATGAGTGTGCAAATGTCTTCCCGCACACAGAGCACAGGAACGGCTTCTCGCCCGTGTGTGTTCTCTGGTGACTCTGAAGATGTGATGAGTGTGCAAATGTCTTCCCGCACACAGAGCACAGGAACGGCTTCTCGCCCGTGTGTGTTCTCTGGTGTCTCTGAAGATGTGATGGCCATGAAAAGGACTTCCCACACACAGAGCAATTGAATGGCTTCTTGCCCCCGTGTGCGTGGGGCTGTGGAGAGCGTCTCTGCTCCATGTGAGCGGAGTAACAGCAGCGGTGTTATCGAGTCAAAAGTACGCTATCGGCCGCAAGGATGTTTAGCGTTGAGTTTTAGATTTTGTTAACGGCTAAAACAAGAACGACACTCGCGTTCAAGCGAGACGCAAAAAAATCCCGTAAATTTGACGACGAACACGTTTAAGATTTTATCCGCGAAAATAGACACTTACTTGGAGATTCACGGTATATCGATGTCTGGAACCCGTTTGAAGATGTCGCCACGAACTCTCCCGACGCAAAGTCGCCTAACTGTCGACGCAGCAATTGTGCTCGCCAGGCTGCGTTGTCTCGCGGTTGAAGGGCGATCAGCAGAGCGACGAGTCGAGCGTCCAACCTCATCAAGTTCCCTCTCGAAATGGCATTGAGCTCTGCTTCTGAGCCGCCTTATAACTCCCCCCTTAGGATCCAATCCTTTGTCTTTCAGGATATTTGCATTCGATTGTTAATTTTGGAAGGCACAATCCGCATATATATTAACATACTGATGGGTAATGTGCCCATTGTGCTTCAAGCATGAATATGTAAGTGCATCTCAGTGTGTCATTATGCACTTATTCTGAATAAATGGAAAAACACGTTCCCCATGCCCTCCATTGTCCTCGATTTAAAGTGAATGCAGCCCCGTGGCGTTGCCAAAAATCGCCGAGCTTCGTGTGTGAGCACGTACAGACGCGTAGTGACCACACTTGCAATACAATCACTCTAACATCAGTAACTAAAATCCGATCTGGTACGTGGTCTCCACTTGGTCTGGTTTGTATCCGTCATCACTCCGGAGACAAACAGCGAGGCATGGTTTGGTCAGCCACCACCTCGTTTGCCAAAACGACTTTAATAGCTGCTCTCAAACAACACTATCACCAATGGTGGTTTACAGGCGAGGCTGTTAAGCGGACAATCAGTCGTTTTGGGCAAGGCGTATGGGATAATACACACCTCTGTTATCCCATAAACACAATACACAGCAGAGGGAAAGCTGCCTTGTTGGGGAGATGTAGTTTGGGTAAGGCGCTGTGACTGGAGTTAAACATTCGCTGCTTGGCCCCGTCGACAGCAGCGGAGACGATCCGATCCACTGTGCTCCATCTCCCCACAAGGTCCACGAAATTCTTGTTTTTTTTAAATGAACGTATGTTTTTCAAATCACATGAAATGTAATTATGTTATAATATGTGATTGTTATACACTTTATCTGTTTACATACCGTTTATAGCTATTCGATTAAATTAACATGACATTCATCCAACAGTGGACAGTTTGATTCTAATGCGACTACAGTGGGATTTTAATAATTGTAATGAGATTCAAATATTGCATGTCCTACCCCCGGTTCGCATTCACTTAACATGCATATGGCCAAAGCGTGATTCTAACATTATCACAGTGCAATTATAATTATTATTATGCGATAATAATCACGAACCTCCATTTTTGTTGTTCAAAACTAATAATACTGTGATGCCGCCGCCACGAAGCCGTTCGGCAGGCGCCCAAATCCCCGACCTCGCCACCACCAAGCAACGGAGCCAACCCCGCGTCTCCCTCACCTCACCTCACACGAACACACCCGCACGCTATTCCCCCCCCCCCCCATAGAGCTCCGAGGGGAGGTCACCTGGCCGACCGGTTTTCATCCGAGAAACCCTTATCGGGGTTAACTCTCACGGTTTCCGGCGATCAGGGAATTGGACGACCTCCCCCGTGCTACGTTGCGCCGCTGCGCTGCGACCAGCCTTAATATGGTGTGGTCGCGGCATGGGGCATTCGGCCACCGCGGTTGAGGCGCATTTCCCCCCACACACACCCCCACGGGTCGACGGGGCAAGCAGGGGAGGGACGGGACAGCATGAATAGCGGGACCGCAGGAGCTGTTGCGCATAGTCATGGCGGGTTGGGATAATTACGCTTGAGCGCGCAGGCCCCATTGTTAAGAAGGGTAAGGGAGTAATTAGGATGTACGCCGCCAACGCCGCTCACTGATTAGCAGATCAAAAGCGCCCGGAACCGCCGTGCGCGGGCTCGAGGTGCACGAGCCCATTGTTCAGCGCAGCATCCCCTTTGAGGTAGGGAGGATAAATAGAGGGGCGCAGAGGGGAAATCGCTCTCTTCTCTCCAGGCCAGCGGACCAGCCGCGGCTCCAGCCAGCGACCCGGGCGTCCGCGCGACTCATCGAGGTGCGCTGTTAGCACAGGGAGCAGCGAACCACCGCGGGCACCAAACAGTGAGTGGGGAGGTGAAGTAGGGTAGCGTAAGCCAATAAATAGGGAATAGGTACAGGTTTGGGTGGAATAGGCCAGCCTCGTCGACTCACTGATTCAACATCAATTCGCAGGTAGCATATAATAAATCATTAATAGCGAAGCGTGGTCTCGCGTGATCTTGTCGTGCAGAGTGTCGCGTGAGGAGCTGCGTGTGTGTGCGTGCGTCCACCCCGGGTGCGATACTGGTGCGCGATCCTAACGCGAGTAGTCAGGGGTGAGTGTAGTGCTGCGGCTCGCCTCGGGGGAGCGCTGCGCAGAGCGGCGCGAGAGTGGGTGTCGCGTGTGTTCACTCCGTGTGTGATACAGGTGCGCGATCATAACGCGAGTATCCAGTGGTGAGTGAGTGCCGCGGCGAGCTGTGTACGTGAGTGCGCATACATTCGTTACGTGTCGGATACGAATACGCATTGGTACGTGGTTATTCGACGTGGAGGCGAGTGCCGCACAGGGCTATAGACGGGCACACACTCGCAGCGTGCGAGAGCTGTACGTAGCGGTGTAAAGAGGGGGAGTATGGCGTTTGATTGATGATGCTGTGCGCACGTATGCTCGCAGCGTGAGAGCGCGGCGCGAGGCTGTAACAGTAGGGGCGTCACGTTCAAATGCCGGCGAAACCGTAGCGGGTAATAGGGAGGTGGGGTAACGTAAACGGAATAGGGGATGCAGGCGGGAGGGACCCCGGGGGCCAACGGCCCCCACACTTCTAATGATATTATAATACCTTACCTCCGTTTAAATGGTTATAAATTAAAACACTAGTTTATAATCGTTTAATGTTCAGTGTTATAGTTTATAGTATTACAGTTTACATGTTATAGAGTACAGTTTATCCCGGACATACTTCGGGATTAGGGACTGGTACGTTGATGAACGATTAACTACGGTGACCTTTCCCCTCAAGGAACACGTGTTAATCGGGTAGACAGCCAAGATGCTGCGGGTTAAGGGCACACTTGTGTGACGGAGGTCCTCCACCTGAAATTATCTTAACATAGGAACATTATAAATTAAAGACCGGACAAACATTTGTTAAAAATACGTTTTTATTCATCTGCAATCATTTTTACGTCAAAATGTTCACACATTTCCAGTACCATGCAAACCATTTCCGTTCCAGGAATACCAAAACGTTAAAGTATCATTGATTTCCTTATTAATTTACCACATTTCACTGCGAGTCCATGTTGAAGTCAAGGCCATATATCCAACGATCGCGTTATCAATGTACATCCTGATATCGACTATCTAAAGTCAATTAATACCAATCAAAAAAAGCTATATACTTGACAAAAATCGTTTAAAATGTTGAGTAAAGATGTACCTACAGACGCATTCCAACTTTAGCTCAACAGGGACACTTAACGACTACAATTGAACCCTCTCACAACCAGTGCTCATCACACCATTTCGGCAAGTAACCCGATAACATTACAAACCACCACTGGGCACGTCATTAAACTCTCAAAAAAACTATAAAACTAAAATGTTCAAAATAACACACAAAAGTACTCGATACGGCTTAAAAGGTATAACCACATGACGTAATATTTTTTCAGTCACCCCGAGCTCTCTGGTTGACTCTCGAGCCACTCCATTACATCCAGCCATCTATCGGGATCCAACTGCATGGGATCGAAGGTGGAAACTTCTTTAGAACTCATTGCAGCACCTTGAATTTCAGCTTTTGATTTCAGTTTCCTATCATTGTGGACCGTCTGATGCCTGTTCCTGGTTGATGAGTCTGCAAATGTCTTCCCACACACAGGGCACACGAATGGCTTCTCGCCCGTGTGTGTTCTCTGATGACTCTGAAGATGTGATGACTGTGCAAATGTCTTCCCACACACAGAACACAGGAACGGCTTCTCGCCCGTGTGTGTTCTCTGGTGACTCTGAAGATGTGATGAGTGTGCAAATGTCTTCCCGCACACAGAGCACAGGAACGGCTTCTCGCCCTTGTGTGTTCTCTGGTGACTCTGAAGATGTGATGAGTGTGCAAATGTCTTCCCGCACACAGAGCACAGGAACGGCTTCTCGCCCGTGTGTGTTCTCTGGTGACTCTGAAGATGTGATGAGTGTGCAAATGTCTTCCCGCACACAGAGCACAGGAACGGCTTCTCGCCCGTGTGTGTTCTCTGGTGTCTCTGAAGATGTGATGGCCATGAAAAGGACTTCCCACACACAGAGCAATTGAATGGCTTCTTGCCCCCGTGTGCGTGGGGCTGTGGAGAGCGTCTCTGCTCCATGTGAGCGGAGTAACAGCAGCGGTGTTATCGAGTCAAAAGTACGCTATCGGCCGCAAGGATGTTTAGCGTTGAGTTTTAGATTTTGTTAACGGCTAAAACAAGAACGACACTCGCGTTCAAGCGAGACGCAAAAAAATCCCGTAAATTTGACGACGAACACGTTTAAGATTTTATCCGCGAAAATAGACACTTACTTGGAGATTCACGGTATATCGATGTCTGGAACCCGTTTGAAGATGTCGCCACGAACTCTCCCGACGCAAAGTCGCCTAACTGTCGACGCAGCAATTGTGCTCGCCAGGCTGCGTTGTCTCGCGGTTGAAGGGCGATCAGCAGAGCGACGAGTCGAGCGTCCAACCTCATCAAGTTCCCTCTCGAAATGGCATTGAGCTCTGCTTCTGAGCCGCCTTATAACTCCCCCCCTAGGATCCAATCCTTTGTCTTTCAGGATATTTGCATTCGATTGTTAATTTTGGAAGGCACAATCCGCATATATATTAACATACTGATGGGTAATGTGCCCATTGTGCTTCAAGCATGAATATGTAAGTGCATCTCAGTGTGTCATTATGCACTTATTCTGAATAAATGGAAAAACACGTTCCCCATGCCCTCCATTGTCCTCGATTTAAAGTGAATGCAGCCCCGTGGCGTTGCCAAAAATCGCCGAGCTTCGTGTGTGAGCACGTACAGACGCGTAGTGACCACACTTGCAATACAATCACTCTAACATCAGTAACTAAAATCCGATCTGGTACGTGGTCTCCACTTGGTCTGGTTTGTATCCGTCATCACTCCGGAGACAAACAGCGAGGCATGGTTTGGTCAGCCACCACCTCGTTTGCCAAAACGACTTTAATAGCTGCTCTCAAACAACACTATCACCAATGGTGGTTTACAGGCGAGGCTGTTAAGCGGACAATCAGTCGTTTTGGGCAAGGCGTATGGGATAATACACACCTCTGTTATCCCATAAACACAATACACAGCAGAGGGAAAGCTGCCTTGTTGGGGAGATGTAGTTTGGGTAAGGCGCTGTGACTGGAGTTAAACATTCGCTGCTTGGCCCCGTCGACAGCAGCGGAGACGATCCGATCCACTGTGCTCCATCTCCCCACAAGGTCCACGAAATTCTTGTTTTTTTTAAATGAACGTATGTTTTTCAAATCACATGAAATGTAATTATGTTATAATATGTGATTGTTATACACTTTATCTGTTTACATACCGTTTATAGCTATTCGATTAAATTAACATGACATTCATCCAACAGTGGACAGTTTGATTCTAATGCGACTACAGTGGGATTTTAATAATTGTAATGAGATTCAAATATTGCATGTCCTACCCCCGGTTCGCATTCACTTAACATGCATATGGCCAAAGCGTGATTCTAACATTATCACAGTGCAATTATAATTATTATTATGCGATAATAATCACGAACCTCCATTTTTGTTGTTCAAAACTAATAATACTGTGATGCCGCCGCCACGAAGCCGTTCGGCAGGCGCCCAAATCCCCGACCTCGCCACCACCAAGCAACGGAGCCAACCCCGCGTCTCCCTCACCTCACCTCACACGAACACACCCGCACGCTATTCCCCCCCCCCCCCCCCCCATAGAGCTCCGAGGGGAGGTCACCTGGCCGACCGGTTTTCATCCGAGAAACCCTTATCGGGGTTAACTCTCACGGTTTCCGGCGATCAGGGAATTGGACGACCTCCCCCGTGCTACGTTGCGCCGCTGCGCTGCGACCAGCCTTAATATGGTGTGGTCGCGGCATGGGGCATTCGGCCACCGCGGTTGAGGCGCATTTCCCCCCACACACACCCCCACGGGTCGACGGGGCAAGCAGGGGAGGGACGGGACAGCATGAATAGCGGGACCGCAGGAGCTGTTGCGCATAGTCATGGCGGGTTGGGATAATTACGCTTGAGCGCGCAGGCCCCATTGTTAAGAAGGGTAAGGGAGTAATTAGGATGTACGCCGCCAACGCCGCTCACTGATTAGCAGATCAAAAGCGCCCGGAACCGCCGTGCGCGGGCTCGAGGTGCACGAGCCCATTGTTCAGCGCAGCATCCCCTTTGAGGTAGGGAGGATAAATAGAGGGGCGCAGAGGGGAAATCGCTCTCTTCTCTCCAGGCCAGCGGACCAGCCGCGGCTCCAGCCAGCGACCCGGGCGTCCGCGCGACTCATCGAGGTGCGCTGTTAGCACAGGGAGCAGCGAACCACCGCGGGCACCAAACAGTGAGTGGGGAGGTGAAGTAGGGTAGCGTAAGCCAATAAATAGGGAATAGGTACAGGTTTGGGTGGAATAGGCCAGCCTCGTCGACTCACTGATTCAACATCAATTCGCAGGTAGCATATAATAAATCATTAATAGCGAAGCGTGGTCTCGCGTGATCTTGTCGTGCAGAGTGTCGCGTGAGGAGCTGCGTGTGTGTGCGTGCGTCCACCCCGGGTGCGATACAGGTGCGCGATCCTAACGCGAGTAGTCAGGGGTGAGTGTAGTGCTGCGGCTCGCCTCGGGGGAGCGCTGCGCAGAGCGGCGCGAGAGTGGGTGTCGCGTGTGTTCACTCCGTGTGTGATACAGGTGCGCGATCATAACCCGAGTATCCAGTGGTGAGTGAGTGCCGCGGGGAGCTGTTACGTGAGTGCGCATACATTCGTTACGTGTCGGATACGAATGCGCATTGGTACGTGGTTATTCGACGTGGAGGCGAGTGCCGCACAGGGCTATAGACGGGCACACACTCGCAGCGTGCGAGAGCTGTACGTAGCGGTGTAAAGAGGGGGAGTATGGCGTTTGATTGATGATGCTGTGCGCACGTATGCTCGCAGCGTGGGAGCGCGGCGCGAGGCTGTAACAGTAGGGGCGTCGCGTTCGAATGCCGGCGAAACCGTAGCGGGTAATAGGGAGGTGGGGTAACGTAAACGGAATAGGGGATGCAGGCGGGAGGGACCCCGGGGGCCAACGGCCCCCACACTTCTAATGATATTATAATACCTTACCTCCGTTTAAATGGTTATAAATTAAAACACTAGTTTATAATCGTTTAATGTTCAGTGTTATAGTTTATAGTATTACAGTTTACATGTTATAGAGTACAGTTTATCCCGGACATACTTCGGGATTAGGGACTGGTACGTTGATGAACGATTAACTACGGGGACCTTTCCCCTCAAGGAACACGTGTTAATCGGGTAGACAGCCAAGATGCTGCGGGTTAAGGGCACACTTGTGTGACGGAGGTCCTCCACCTGAAATTATCTTAACATAGGAACATTATAAATTAAAGACCGGACAAACATTTGTTAAAAATACGTTTTTATTCATCTGCAATCATTTTTACGTCAAAATGTTCACACATTTCCAGTACCATGCAAACCATTTCCGTTCCAGGAATACCAAAACGTTAAAGTATCATTGATTTCCTTATTAATTTACCACATTTCACTGCGAGTCCATGTTGAAGTCAAGGCCATATATCCAACGATCGCGTTATCAATGTACATCCTGATATCGACTATCTAAAGTCAATTAATACCAATCAAAAAAAGCTATATACTTGACAAAAATCGTTTAAAATGTTGAGTAAAGATGTACCTACAGACGCATTCCAACTTTAGCTCAACAGGGACACTTAACGACTACAATTGAACCCTCTCACAACCAGTGCTCATCACACCATTTCGGCAAGTAACCCGATAACATTACAAACCACCACTGGGCACGTCATTAAACTCTCAAAAAAACTATAAAACTAAAATGTTCAAAATAACACACAAAAGTACTCGATACGGCTTAAAAGGTATAACCACATGACGTAATATTTGTTCAGTCACCCCGAGCTCTCTGGTTGACTCTCGAGCCACTCCATTACATCCTGCCATCTATCGGGATCCAACTGCATGGGATCGAAGGTGGAAACTTCTTTAGAACTCATTGCAGCACCTTGAATTTCAGCTTTTGATTTCAGTTTCCTATCATTGTGGACCTTCTGATGCCTGTTCCTGGTTGATGAGTCTGCAAATGTCTTCCCACACACAGGGCACAGGAATGGCTTCTCGCCCGTGTGTGTTCTCTGATGACTATGAAGATTTGATGACTTGGAAAATGTCTTCCCACACACAGGGCACAGGAATGGCTTCTCGCCCGTGTGTGTTCTTTGATGAGTTTGAAGAGTTGATGACTGTGCAAATGCCTTCCCACACACAGGGCACAGGAATGGCTTCTCGCCTGTGTGTGTTTTCTGATGGTCTTGAAGAGTTGACGATTGTGCAAATGTCGTCCCACACACATGGCACCGGAATGGCTTCTCACCAGTGTGTGTTCTCCAATGACTCTGAAGATGTGATGAGTGTGCAAATGTCTTCCCGCACACAGAGCACAGGAACGGCTTCTCGCCCGTGTGTGTTCTCTGGTGACTCTGAAGATGTGATGAGTGTGCAAATGTCTTCCCGCACACAGAGCACAGGAACGGCTTCTCGCCCGTGTGTGTTCTCTGGTGTCTCTTAAGATGTGATGGCCGTGAAAAGGACTTCTCACACACAGGGCACAGGAATGGCTTCTCGCCCGTGTGTGTTCTTTGATGAGTTTGAAGAGTTGATGACTGTGCAAATGCCTTCCCACACACAGGGCACAGGAATGGCTTCTCGCCTGTGTGTGTTTTCTGATGGTCTTGAAGAGTTGACGATTGTGCAAATGTCGTCCCACACACATGGCACCGGAATGGCTTCTCACCAGTGTGTGTTCTCCGATGACTCTGAAGATGTGATGAGTGTGCAAATGTCTTCCCGCACACAGAGCACAGGAACGGCTTCTCGCCCGTGTGTGTTCTCTGGTGACTCTGAAGATGTGATGAGTGTGCAAATGTCTTCCCGCACACAGAGCACAGGAACGGCTTCTCGCCCGTGTGTGTTCTCTGGTGTCTCTTAAGATGTGATGGCCGTGAAAAGGACTTCTCACACACAGAGCAATTGAATGGCTTCTTGCCTCCGTGTGCGTGGGGCTGTGGAGAGCGTCTCTGCTCCATGTGAGCGTAGTAACAGCAGCGGTGTTATTGAGCCAAAAGTACGCTATCGGCCGAAAGGAGTTTTGGATTTTGTTAACTGCTAAAACAAGAACGACACTCACGTCTAACCGAGACGCAAAAAAATACCGCTAATTTGACGACGAACACGTTTAACAGTTTATCCGCGAAAATAGACACTTACTTGGAGATTCACGGTAGATCGACGTCTGGAACCCGTCTGAAGATGTCGCCACGAACTCTCCCGACGCAAAGTCGCCTAAGTGTCGACACAGCAATTGTGCTCGCCAGGCTGCGTTGTCTCGCGATTGAAGGGCGATCAGCAGAGCGACGAGTCGAGCATCCAACCTCATCAAGTTCCCTCTCGAAATGGCATTGAGCTCTGCTTCTGAGCCGCCTTATAACTCCCCCCCTAGGATCCAATCCTTTGTCTTTCAGGATATTTGCATTCGATTGTTAATTTTTGGAGGCACAATCCGCATGTCTTTTAACATACCGAAGGGTAATGTGCCAATTGTGCTTCATGCATGAATATGTAAGTGCATCTCAGTGTGTAATTGTGCGCTTATTTGAATGAATGGAAAAACTTTGTCCTCGATTTAAAGTGAATGCAGAGAAATTAGCATGTAACTTTAGAAAAGGAAGAGAGCGGCCTTCTCGACGATGGAGTGAAATCCAATAGGTAATATTCTTTTACAGCGTTACAATGGATAGGTTGTAGTTCATAGGTTATAATATTTCGTTTCACTATGTTAGAGCTTAGCATGTGAGAGTATACAATATCAGAGTTGATCAAACGCAACGACCAAGGGCGTCAATCGGGTGAGTTTGATCAGAGGCTTTAATCAAAGGCGTCATCCCATCACGGAACAACACCTCCCTGCGTTTATTACAGCAACAGAAGCAACTACAGCAGCAACAAGAGTAGCGACAACAACAGCAGCAACATCACATTTCGAGGGCGACGCAGCTACTTCCGATTCCGAGTGGGGACCTGCTCTCGCAGGACCCCACACGTCTTTGGAAATGATTGCGATGATCATGTCTGAGCTGAGATTAAAGTCACTCAAGATTACTTTGTTTAACCATAACTTTAGGTAGGTTGGTGTCATCGGGGCTGTGTGAATACTACTCATGAATGAAATCACGCTTCTGCATGACCGAAATTGTACTAATTTTGGTTGATCGAGTAGAACAAGGCACGTGCCATGTCCAGACGAATTCTTATCAACAACAGTGTCCTTAAATATGATGCTAAAATAAATGTTAACACTGGATTAAACGTGCACCTCTTAACCCCTCCCTCGCATTTACGACTAACAATTTGCATTTGCACATAACATACATTCAAGTACAGTAATTTGCTAAAACGACCAAATTGTCATTCTAAAATTTGAATGCCATTCTTACCCTCGACCCCCCACAGTTCACATATCCGACCGTCGGTTCGATTGAACGGACAATTAACAAACATGTGTAGAGTTCCATTATAATACTTCTAATGAAATTAAAATACCGTACCTCCGTTTATGGTGCTATAAATTATAAAACCAGTTGTTATCTTTTTTTGTCGTTTAATGTTTAGTGTTATTGTTTATAGTGTTATCAATTTACATATTTTTAACTGCAGGTGATTCCCGGTATACTTCGCTATTCTGGACCTGAACGTTGCGAAACGATTCATAACGAGGACCTTTCCCCACCAGAGCGCAAGCCGCTAATGAAAAGAACTCGGGCCGTCGGGAGGACGTGCTTCCATGGGCAGTGGGGGACAGGGCATGGTTGTATTGCCTACAGGTACCACCGGGTATGTCCCCCAAGTTGCTCCGCCCATGGCGGGGTCAGGTAGAGGTCATAGAGGTGGGTGATGTAAAGACAGTGCATCAACTAAGGGACAGGTGGTGACAACAAGATAGACTTTTATATAAGTTTATTCACCAGCGGCAAATTGCCCTGGAATTTTGCAATATTCAAGCCTTAATGGCCACACCAAAAAGCACAGCTCACCATCCCACCGCCGCCCCGCGACGCGCAACGCCGGCACCACAATCCCCACGCACCGGCCGCGCAACAGCATCCGACGCGCTGTGTCATTTCGAGCTTTGGCACCTCTTTGCTTGGCAGGGCCCCCCCCGCTTATTCCACACTTCCTCCCCTGATGGTTCGAGGTCACAGTCATCGGTAACATCACCACCGCTAGATAACGCAGCCCGTGCGCCACGCCACCGCGCGAGCCACACCGCCACGTGCACATTCATCTACGTCACGTGTGCACACCGCTGCGCACGCACCACCACCCCGCGAGATTTCCGCGACACGTGTGTCACACCACCGCATGCACCATGCTGCGACGCGCACGTCACACCACGGCACGTGCGCCGCACCACCTGGTGCGACCCACCGCCGCGCACGTGCGCACATTTTCGGTCCGCCGCGTGCGCCACACCTCAGCACATGTGCCGCGCCGCCAAGTGCGTCACACCGCTGAGTGAGTGCCGCACCACCGCGCGCGCTACACCATGCCACGTGCGTCACGCCGCCTCACTCCGCGTGACACACCGCGGCGCGTGTCCCGCACCGCCAAGCGCGCCACACCGCCGCGCACACACCACATTATTCAGACCGCCGCGTGCGCCACACCTCAGCACATGTGCCGCACTGCCAGGCGCGTGCGCCGCACGGCCGGACTGTCACGCGCTCCGCTCCACCACGCGCGCTGCACCGCCGCATACGTCCTGCCCGCGTCGCCGCGTCTAACGCCCGTTTCGACTCGATCATTAAAAAGTGAAGGTCAGTTCACCATTCGTGTTGGTGCAGAGGGCCTGACCGGCCCCCCACCGCTCCTGGAACACGGCGTGCGCATCTCCAACCTGGGAAAAGTACGCGTGCTCCAGCCGGAGCCTCGCTTTCAGCAGACCTTTCAGCGTTGCCTCCGCTGAACAACTATCGTCCGTGTCACCTCGCTGTTTCTTTTTTCGCGTTTTATATACTGCCATATTGGCGTGCGCGCAGACAAAGTTTGCCAGGATGTGGCGCTTGTCCGCCCGGTACGGTACCCCGCATATAAAAACGCTCTTGTAGAAGGGCACCCCCAATTTCTTAAAACACGGCTCCCAGGAGTCTGAACAGCGGGTCCAGCCGCGAGCACCCCACGTACTGGTGGGCGAGGTCCTCCCTCGCGCCACAGAACACGCACAGGTCTGATGCCCCCGGGGTGACCTTGCTGATCCACGCCGCCGAGGGCAGCGTCCAATGCGCCAGCCTCCACTGGAGGTCCCCGCTGCGCTTTGCAACGGGGGCCTTGTAGAGCTGTTTTCTACTGGGGGGTGGTGTCGATCAAGGGAGAGAAGAACTCCCTCCACTTCGTGTCCGGTAGGTTTTCCAGCTCTCGACACCGCAGTGGTTTGACGCAGCAGTCGTACAGCACCCGCTTGGAGGCACCCTTGAGGGCCACGTCTCTGCAGTTCGCGAGCTTGAGCAACCTCCCTGCCTCACAGCGCCCGGGGGGCTGGATGCAGGAGACGCGCAACTCCTGGAAAGCGGGCTCGCCCTGCTCCATTCCAGGCTCCGCCACGCCTCCAACAGGCTCTGGTAATAGCCCGGCAGTCCGGTGCAATCGACTAGGGACAGGTCCATAAGGAAGAGCTCCCTCCCATATCCCAGCCGCCCGCCCGCATTTCTCAGCAGGGCGAGGGCCAGCGACGTCCGGGGCAGCTCCTCTTGTTCATATAGCAAGTTTCTCACGGCCTGGAGCCTGAAGCTCATCACTCGAGCGGTGACGTCTACCAGGCCCTGGCCGCCCTCACCCACCGGCAGGCAGAGGACCCCTGGCCTCATCCAGTGCTTGCCGTTCCAGACAAAGTGGGCAAGCGACCTGTTCGCCCTCGTGAATAACCAGCCCGGGGGTTGGAGGGCCTTGGCTCTGTGCCACAGCACCGAGGCTGCCAGGTTATTCCCTATGAGCACTCTCCCCCTGAAGGACATTTGTGGGGCGAGATGTGCCCACGCTCTCAGTTTAGCATCAAATACGTCGCTCATCTCGGTCCAGTTTTTGTGAACGACTTGGGGCTTCCCTAGGTACACTCCGAGATACTTCACGCCCTCACCCTGCCAGGTGACTCCGCCTGGGAGGAGCACGGAACTCACTGCACCTTGTGACCCCATCCATAACGCCTCACACTTCCGCCAGTTGACTTTGGCGCAGGAGGCCTTTTCATAGACCTCCACCGCCCGGCAGAGTGCAGCGACGTCCTGCGCGTCGTTGATCACGGCGCATACGTCGTCCGCATATGCGGAGAGCTTTATGACTGCGTTCTCCGGCCCCGGGACCCTGAACCCGGACAAGGTGTTTCTCAGGCGTCGCAAGAGCGGCTCAAGGGACAGGGTGTAGAGGAGCCCCGAGAGAGGGCACCTTTGCCTGACTCCTCTTGTCACGGGAACAGGGCAGCCAAGCCTTTGATTGATTTTATGAGGCTGGATATGCCCGTATATAGGAGGTGCACGTGTGCCGTGAAGTTCTGGCCGAACCCGAAGGAGAGGAGCAGTCTTCTCAGGTACTCGTGGCTCACCCTGTCGAACGCCTTCTCCTGGTCCATGAATAGGAGACCCGCATCCACGTCGTGCATATCCGCGAGGGAGATCACATCCCTGACCGTGCCGATGTTGTCATAGATGCAGCGGCCGGGGATGCAATACGCCTGCTCGGGTTGCACGAGCTGATCCACCACCTCTTTGAGGCGGTTTGCCAGCGCCTTGGCGAATATTTTATAGTCGGCACACAGGAGGGAGACGGTCCGCCAGTTTTCTATGCGACGCAGGTCCCCCTTCTTAGGCAACAGGGTGACCACCGCCCTCCTGCAGCTCTGCGGGAGTTCCCCGTCCCGCAGGCTCTCCTCCAGCAGCCCCAGCAGGCAAGGGCCGAGTACATCCCAGAAAGTTTCGTAGAACTCAACTGGCAGCCCATCGATCCCTGGGGATTTGCCAGCTGCCAGACTTTTCATGGCAGTGTGCAGCTCCTCCAGGGTGACGGGGCTTTCCAGTTTGTCTCTCTCCGCGTCCCCCAGAGTAGGGCCCGCAGCTAGTAGTTCTTCAACCGCCTCGTCCTGTACGTGCTCAGCCTTGAACAGGTGTGAATAGAAGTCCTTCGCGATCCTAGCAATTTCCCCCTCGGCAGTTGCTGTCTCCCCCTCTGGGGTAAGCAACCCTGAAATGTCGTTCTCATTGCTCGAGGGTCTGTTGCCTAGCCTAAAGAAATACTTTGAGGGAGAATCCGTCTGTGCCAGGTGTTGCACCTTTTTGTGCACAAACGAACTATGTGCCTGTTGGTCCGTGACGGCCCTAAAAAGTCGCCGCTTCTCCAGCAGCACCTCGCCCTCGTTGTTGTGCGCGTCCTGGGCCGAGCCCATCTCAGCCTCGAGCAGCAGCAGCTCGCTCGCTCCCCAGGCGTTTCACCGTCTTCTCCTTGGCGGCGGCGTGCTGGCTCGAAAGCTGTAGACAGAGGGCCCTAATTTGCGCTTTAGTGTGTTCCCACCATCGCTGACCAGAGCTGAAACTGCTCCTAGTTGCTGCCCAGTGTGACCAACAGGCCCTGAATGCCTCCGTGAAATTTTCGTCCTCAAGCAGCTGCACGTCGAGTTTCCAGTAGGGGCAGCGGACGCCTCTCCCTGGGGACTCGCAGCAGTGCTGAGACCAGGTGGGTGGTCAGAGAAACCGGACGGGGGTGATGTTGCTGCCCCCTAGCCGGTTAGCGCTGTCCGCACTGATGTACAGCCGGTCCAGCCTGGCGAGGCTCATCCTCCCCTGCAGGCCCGCGCGGCACCAAGTGTATTGCCTCTGGCCTGGGTGTTGCAGTCGCCACGTGTCGAGCAAACCCAGTTGCTGCACCATGTCGGCTAATTGGCCGTGCGGATTCCGGGTGGGGCTCAGCACTATTGCGGTCGAGAGCCGGGTCGAGGGTGCAGTTCATATCTCCCCCCACGACCGTGAGCACCCCGTCCGCACTGCCTGCCTCCAAGGCATTCCGCAGTGTGCCAGAGAAAAAGCGTTTCCTCTCACTGGTCTTACTCTGCGCATAAACGTTGAAACACCGTAGCCTCGTGTTGTTTAACACGAAGTCTACAGATATCAGATAGCCTTTTTGGATCTCTCTGAAGGCCACGCCTTCTGGGAGAAACTTTGGACTAAACACAATTGCAACACCAGCGCGGTTGTCTTCTCCGTGACTAAAGAAGGTCTGGCTGCCCAAGAGGTGCTGGCGCTGGGGCTGCAGAGTTGCGTCAAGGTGCGTTTCTTGCAGAAACGTCACATCCGCTTTCTGCTCGCTAATGAAGCTGCAGATGCGGTGCCACCTCTGATCGCTTCGAGCTCCGTTGCAGTTTAAACTCGCGATCCTTACACCTGAGGAAGCCATGGCTTTAGGCGTTCGGCTTCAGCAACAGCATCAGCGGGGCGGCACTCCGGTTGGGACAATGCTCCCCTTTCTTTGCTTTCTGCATGAAACCCCTCAGCCGATTGCCTTCCTGCGGGGTGCATTTGTGCTTTCCATGTCGCTGATGATTGTCTGCGCGACCTTCAAGAAGGCCTGCACATCGGGGAAAGAATCTCCGATGTCGACCCCCCGCTTCTTGTAACTAGTTCGGAGGAATTTGACAATCTTGCCGGGTGTTGTACTCTCGTTTCTTCTTAACATGTGAGTTGCTCCCTCACTCAAGTTGTCTTCTATCTCTAACTCCGACCCTCCGTCGTCTGAGTCTCCCGGCACGCTTGTGTGAGGCTCGGTGGTTACCTCTTCCAACGCACCGTGCCGATCGGAGGTGTCTTCCAACTCGGGCCGGCTCCCCTCTGCGGCCTCTGCCTCCCTCACCTGGTCGGGTGAGGAGGTTGAGCTGGTCGTCACCCCCCGAGCGCCGTGTCATCGGCAGGCCTCATCGGTGGCTTCCAGCACCCCCCCCCCCTTCCGGGGCAGCCGAGTCCGGGTCTGGTGGTCGCCCCTCTGCCTCGGCATCAACCGGCCGGTGGGCCTCGTCAATGACGACCACAGCACCCTGTGGCTCGGCCTCACCGCCGCGCCCTGCCTGTTGCGTTCGGGCGGTTGTCCCGTTCGTCACTGTCGCTGTTGTCTTTCTCGGCGGCGGCCACGCGTTTTGGAAGGGTGCCACCGCGCCCACCCCCCCCCCCCCCCGAATTGCCTCCTCCTCGCCTTCCGCTTTCTCGACTCAACGACGGTGATGAAACCATCTTCCCCCGCCGTCAGTCATTGGCTGCGCGTGACCATCAGCAGCGTCGGTGGAGGTCTGCTGCTGCTGCTGCAGCTGCTGTTGCCGCGGTGGCAGCGCCTGCTGCTGCTGCTTCTGCTGCTCCCGCACTCTGCTGCTGCTGTCTGCGCAGGCGGAGCTGCGACTACAGTGGGATTTTAATAATTGTAATGAGAGTCAAATATTGCATGTCCTACCCCCGGTTCGCATTCACTTAACATGCATATGGCAAAGTGTGATTCTAACATTATCACAGTGCAATTATAATTATTATTATGCGATAATAATCACGAACCTCCATGTTTGTTGTTCAAAACTAATAATACTGTGATGCCGCCGCCACGAAGCCGTTCGGCAGGCGCCCAAATCCCCGACCTCGCCACCACCAAGCAACGGAGCCAACCCCGCGTCTCCCTCACCTCACCTCACACGAAGACAACCCGCACGCATTTCCCCCCCCCCCCCCCCCCATAGAGCTCCGAGGGGAGGTCACCTGGCCGACCGGTTTTTATCCGAGAAACCCTTATCGGGGTTAACTCTCACGGTTTCCCGGCGATCAGGGAATTGGACGACCTCCCCCGTGCTACATTGCGCCCGCTGCGCTGCGAACCAGCCTTAATATGTGTGGTCGCGGCATGGGGCATTCGGCCACCGCGGTTGAGGCGCATTTCCCCCCACACACACCCCACGGGTCGACGGGGCAAGCAGGGGAGGGACGGGACAGCATGAATAGCGGGACCGCAGGAGCTGTTGCGCACTAGTCATGGCGGGTGGGATAATTACGCTTGAGCGCGCAGGCCCATTGTTAGGAAGGGTAAGGGAGTAATTAGGATGTACGCCGCAAACGCCGCTCACTGATTAGCATATCACACAGCGCCCGGGAACCGCCGTGCGCGGGCCTGGGGTGCACGAGCCCATTGTTCAGCGCAGCATCCCCTTTGAGCTAGGGAGGATAAATAGAGGGGCGCAGAGGGGAAATCGCTCTCTTCTCTCCAGGCCAGCGGACCAGCCGCGGCTCCAGCCAGCGACCCGGGCGTCCGCGCGACTCATCGAGGTGCGCTGTTAGCACAGGGAGCAGCGAACCACCGCGGGCACCAAACAGTGAGTGGGGAGGTGAAGTAGGGTAGCGTAAGCCAATAAATAGGGAATAGGTACAGGTTTGGGTGGAATAGGCCAGCCTCGTCGACTCACTGATTCAACATCAATTCGCAGGTAGCATATAATAAATCATTAATAGCGAAGCGTGGTCTCGCGTGATCTTGTCGTGCAGAGTGTCGGGAGAGCTGCGTGTGTGTGCGTGCGTCCACCCGGGTGCGATACAGGTGCGCGATCCTAACGCGAGTAGTCAGGGGTGAGTGTAGTGCTGCGGCTCGCCTCGGGGGAGCGCTGCGCAGAGCGGCGCGAGAGTGGGTGTCGCGTGTGTTCACTCCGTGTGTGATACAGGTGCGCGATCATAACGCGAGTACCCAGTGGTGAGTGAGTGCCGCGGCGAGCTGTGTACGTGAGTGGCATACATTCGTTACGTGTCGGATACGAATACGCATTGGTACGTGGTTATTCGACGTGGAGGCGAGTGCCGCACAGGGCTATAGACGGGCACACACTCGCAGCGTGCGAGAGCTGTACGTAGCGGTGTAAAGAGGGGGAGTATGGCGTTTGATTGATGATGCTGTGCGCACGTATGCTCGCAGCGTGGAGCGCGGCGCGAGGCTGTAACAGTAGGGGCGTCACGTTCAAATGCCGGCGAAACAGTAGCGGGAAATAGGGAGGTGGGGTAACGTAAACGGAATAGGGGATGCAGGCGGGAGGGACCCCGGGGGCCAACGGCCCCCACACTTCTAATGATATTATAATACCTTACCTCGTTTAAATGGTTATAAATTAAAACACTAGTTTATAATCGTTTAATGTTCAGTGTTATAGTTTATAGTATTACAGTTTACATGTTATAGAGTACAGTTTATCCCGGACATACTTCGGGATTAGGGACTGGTACGTTGATGAACGATTAACTACGGGGACCTTTCCACTCAAGGAACACGTGTTAATCGGGTAGACAGCCAAGATGCTGCGGGTTAAGGGCACACTTGTGTGACGGAGGTCCTCCACCTGAAATTATCTTAACATAGAAACCATTTCCGTTCCAGGAATACCAAAACGTTAAAGTATCATTGATTTCCTTATTAATTTACCACATTTCACTGCGAGTCCATGTTGAAGTCAAGGCCATATATCCAACGATCGCGTTATCAATGTACATCCTGATATCGACTATCTAAAGTCAATTAATACAATCAAAAAAAGCTATATACTGACAAAAATCGTTTAAACATGTTGAGTAAAGATGTACCTACAGACGCATTCCAACTTTAGCTCAACAGGGACACTTAACGACTACAATTGAACCCTTCACAACCAGTGCTCATCACACCACTTCGGCAAGTAACCCGATAACATTACAAACCACCACTGGGCACGTCATTAAAACTCTCAAAAAAACTATAAAACTAAAATGTTCAAAATAACACACAAAGTACTCGATACGGCTTAAAAGGTATAACCACAGACGTAATATTTTTCAGTACTCGAGCTCTCTGGTTGACTCTCGAGCCACTCCATTACATCCAGCCATCTCTCGGGATCCAACTCCATGGGATCGAAGGTGGAAACTTCTTTAGAGAACTCATGCAGCACCTTGAATTTCAGCTTTGATTCAGTTCCTTCATTGTGGACCTTTGGTGCCTGTCATGGTGATGACCGTGCAAATGCCTTCCACACAAAGGGCACAGGAATGGCTTCGCCGTGTGTGTTCTCCGATGACTCTGAAGGTGACGAGTGTGCAAACGTTTCCCACACAAGGGCAC